CCCCGCAGGGACAGGGAGGCTGTGGTCCCCGCGCCGTACCCCTCCCGGGGCCGCATGGACCCCCCGCAGCCCCCCGACGCTCACCCGGTTCCCTTCCGGGCGCCGCTACCGCGGGAGCTGCACCGGGACCGGCACCGGCTCAGGCCGCAGCAGTCCCATCATCCCAGGGAGAGGCAGCTGGAAAACAGCCCCCGGGTGCCCGAGTCCCACTGGGACCAAGCCGAGCAGGACAGAAAAGATCAGGCCGGGAGGAGGGAAAAAAAACCCAACACAAGGCAGGAGTCCAATAAAACTATGTTTATAAATAAAAACAAGGAGATTGGTTTTCTTTTTATAAAACCCAGCGGGCAGGGTAGGGCAAGGGCAGGAGCAGTGGCTGGGGAGGCAGGCAAGGGGGGAAGGTGGCAGCTTGCCAGTGAGAGGAGGGGACAGGAGGGAAGAGCTGAGCAAGCTGGCTCCGGCAGGCAGAGGGGAGGCTGCAGGGAGATGAACTGATGGCACGTGAGAGCTGCAAGAGGGGCTGCAGGGGCAACGCAAAGCCCCGAGGAGGAAAAGATATTTCATCTCCATCGTATAAAAACTGCAAACACAAGAAGGACCAAAGGAGGCAACACTTCCAGAGAAAGACCTGGCACGGCAGTAGGAGAGGGTGCCAGGACACCAGCACCAATAGGAGCAGCGTCAGTGCGACTGGACTGTACCGTGCTTGGCCCTGGGCATGGGGAAAGGAGGTGCCCCCAGCCCGGGGCATGTCTCTGAGTACCCAGAAGAGGAAGGGAAAAAAGGGAGCACTGGGGCAATTGGACTCAACTGTCCTGACACATCTGCAGGCACTGAGCCCAGAGGCCACGATTCAGGCTGCAGCCTCCCTCCCCAAAGAGGTCATGTTGACTCACAGCCTGGAGGCAGTGGGACCATCCCAGCTCTGCCCCAGAACCTCATCCCTCCTGGCAGCCAGGCCAGCACCACATGTGGTGCTGGGCAGAGGGGGAGGCAGACTCGGGCCCTTCACAGGGCAAATACAGCAAATCCCAAAGCATGAAAGTGAACCAGTCATGCCCTTCCCTCAAATATCTCCATCCAGACCCTAGAAAATGTCACAGTGCTGAGCAGCAACATGACAGTAGGAGGGAGAAGGCTACAGCTGTCACTACCAGTCCCTGGCATGGGACCAGCACTTACAAATGGGACAGGCAGCAGCATGTCACAGGGAGGAGGGCAAAGAGCACAACTCTGGCCTGACACCCCAAGTACCCAGTAGCAGGGCCCTGAGTCATGCAAGACCGTGTGCAGGCTCCCACCACTGCTCCAAACTGAATGCAGAGCTACAGCCCCAGCCCTGAACCTTGCAGCCTGGGCAGGGTGAAGGAGGGTCCTGTGATGGGGCAGTGCCAGGCTCAGACTTGGCCCAATTTATGGGCAAGAGGAGGGAGGCAAGACAGAAGTGGCAGCAAGTCTCCACTCCTTGGAGGCACTGAAGCCCTGGAACATTCATGCATTAGCCAAAAGGCAACTAAATGGGATTTAAAATGCTTCTAGTAAGGCTGGTCCCTGCTCCCCTCTCAGGGCTGCGGGAAGGGCAGGGCATCTTCCACAAGGGGGAGGAAAGAAGCCATCTTCAGCACCAGGCGTGCCCAGCGCCCGTGGAGCTCCGTGTCCTGCTGTCGGGCCACGCCACGCTCCAGCTCTCCCCCCCACGGGCGGCAGGCTCAGAGAAAGTCAAACACCCCGTAATTCTTTGCTGCTTGATAGAAGAAACACAAAAGGGTGAAAAGAAAGAAGAGATGTTTAGGGTGGAAGGACCGGGCAGCAGCGACACACGGGCAAGCAGCACAAGGTGCTGGGACAGATGCAGATTAATGGGGTTAGAGAGGAGGGCAGGAGGGAATTACCATTGGCAAATACACAAGTCTGGTGGCGGGATGGGCTGGCAGCAGCCAGCAGGCCTGCCAGGCCCGTCCACCCCGCTCGAGGAGGGATTAGAATCAAGGTTTAGTTCCATTTATTATTTTTTTTCCCTTTTTTCTTTTCGTTATCAAGACAAAAAAAAAAAACAGACAAAAAAAAAAAAAAAAAAAAAAAAAAAAAACAAAAAAAATCAAAACCCAAAAAACAAGGGGTGAAGCCAGGGCTGGTCCTAGGAGACAAACGACGGGGATGGAGGGGGGAAGGAGGGGCAGCAGACAGACAGGGGATGGGCGCTTCACATTACATCCACAAAGAACTCACTGGGGTTGCCCATGGCCATTCGGAAGGACTGTCTACTGGCTGTCAGTTCGGGGGGCACAGAAGCCAGGTCACGGCCCGGCGGCGCCCCGGGGGGCCCCATGGCTGACGGCGGTGGAGGCATCAGCAACATGGGGGGACTGAAGAGAGGGGGGAGGCCAGGCGGCCCGTAGGACTGCTGGCTGTGGTGGCTGCGGATGCTGTGAGCCAGGGAGTGCTGGCTGCGCTGGCTGTGCTGGCTGGCGGGCACCGAGCGCTCGCTGGCCGCGCGCTCACGCCGCATGCTGCTCCTCGTGGTGTGGTCTGACTCGCTCCCGCTGCCGCCTGACTTGGACTCCCCGGTCTTCTCTCTCTCCTTCCTCCTCTCGCTGCCGCTGCGATTGGAACCGCTGCTCCGGCTCCCTGAGAAGCACACGAGGCAAGGTTAGCTGATGGCTCAGGCAAGCCAGGAAGGAAAGGTGCTCCTCTAGCCGAGAGAGGACTACAGCGCACTGCAGCACAGCCCTTTGCCAGCACAGCCTGTGCTGTCTCTTTTCAACTCTCGAGTCCCACAGCCCTTCCAGGATGGCTTTTGCCCTGGCTCTCCACACACACAGGATTCTGCCGAAGCAGCCTTTTCCTGCTGCTTCCCTGTACTGCCCACCCACAGGCATATTTTAGCCCTTTGCACTCACCTTCACTGTGCTGGCTGCCTGCGCTGCCCCCGCCGTAGCTGTAGCCTGGGTCAGGGAAGCCGGGGTGGGGGTTATATGGATGAGGTGGTGGATACTGATACGGGAAAGCCATGGGCCAGGGTGCGGCTCCTGGGTGGGGGAGTGGAGCCAAAGTGTCCTGATCAGAGGCACCACTGGAGCCATCGTGGTCATGAAGAGACAGATTAGCCATGTCTGCAAGAAAGCAGAGAAGGGAGATTAGTCCAAGCAGAAAGACAATCACGTGTGATGAAGCAGCTTCCCGTCCACCCTTGCTAATAGACACGAATGGGATACATAAGGAGATGGAAGAAGTTGGCCCCCACCCCGCTAGTCAGTGCAATCATTTGTGCTTTCTGGCTGGACAACAGCCAGACTGTGAGAGTCCAAGCTGCCACTCTAACACAGAGACCATCTTGGGTGGGAAAGGACCACATTAAGAGCTACAGCTCACCCTACCAATTACTTCCTCCAGCCCTCTTATTTAAGCAGAACCCAGCTGTCTGAGCATCACTCCCCTGCCAGCACTGGAAGCTCAAAGCCTGGTAAGAAAGTCAGTAAAGACTCTGCTACGGCTGCCCAGGAGAAAAGATTACACAGAAGTGAGAGTCTCATCTTCCAATTTCAACAGCATGACAAGGAAGCTTGGATGTTCTTCCTCTCTCTAACAGTGTCTTTAGAACAGGGGCCCAGCCTGATGACAGTGGTGGTAGCCATGTCCCCACAGTGTTAACAGGGTTCTGCAGGACCCCAACCCCCTGCCATCCTCTCCCTCCCACCCATGCCAAGTGCCATACTTCCACAGAGGTCTCCGAAGATGTAATAGCATTGCTCTGAGAAGGTGATCTTGTTCACGGTGTGTCGGATGTAGCCAGCCTTCAGCAGATTGCTGGCATATTTGCGGGATTCACGACGGTCTGTAAAGCCCTCCACGTGGTGATAGAGCCAATCCACCACATCTGAACCTGCCACCAAAAATCAGCATTAAAAACAGCTACAGAGAGGAGTGGCCCTTGAGGCGATAGGTTTACACCAGAGCCAAGAAAAGATGAAAACGGACTGGACAGCCAAAGGTCCAATTTATGGCTCTGGCCTGGCCAACAGTTCACGATGACCAAAATGCTCCCTTGAGGATCTGCTTGGAAAAGAGATCACCCATTCCCCACTCCCTGCCTCTGCTGCAGGCAACACAGCCTCTTACCAATGAAGGCATTGGGGATGGTGATCTTCAGCCACATGCGGTCACGCACTTCCAGGCCTGACTCTGGTGAGGCCATGGCTTTGACAATGGTGGCCATGTCACTGTGGATGGACAGGTGAAAGTCATCGAGGCCTGTGGTTTGGACGAAGGGAAGGGAGGGAGAGATGAGAGGGGACAGAAAAGACAACAGGGCTACACAGAAGCACCGCACACAGGAGGAATGGGCCAGGGAACAATACATCGCAGACAGCCTTGGGGTGCATGCTGTGTAAGCCCCCTTCCAGTCATCTGATATCCCTCCCATGTCAGCCACTTCACCTGGTGCAAAACCCATGTCAGAGTCTCCTTCCTTCCAACCAGTCACAAGCAGCTGAGATCCAAAAGCTGCCAAATGAGCCCACACAGCCCAGCAAGGGAATTCTCTGCTCCTCACAAACTTACAACTCCCGGCTTTTTGCCCCAGCTCTCTAGACCCTTGCTTCAGGGCTCTGTGTACTAGAATCACCCAAGACCTTCAGAAAGCAACCAGAAGAGCCCTGTGCTCAGCAGGACCCTGCCCCACTGCAAAGTTCTTTGCTCCCAGCTGCCTCTATCCTGCCCTGTCTGCTGTCTGGGAGGACAATTGCTCCAGGGACAAGCCTCTGGCCCTGCACTCTCAGCCACTAATTCCTGATTGCTCAGAGTCTTTCCTCTACATCTGCCACAGCTCCTGGATTGCTCCCAGGCTTTTCCACTCTCCCTATGTAGAAGGCTGAAAAATTCACCCATCCAGAACTCCCACTGATCCAAGAGCCTGTCTGGCAAGAGCTGCCTCTCTCTTAGTCCCCTGACAAGGCAGATCTGGCTGTCCCCAAACAGATGTATTGCTCCCTTTACAGCACAGTGAAGTGAGAAAGCTCTGCAGTGGGTGGAGCACAGAGGCACAAGGACTTACGTTCAGTCTCTGGGATGGAGCTGGTGATGGAGGAGCTGGTGGAAGTGATTGTGCTCATGGATGGACTCATACCGTACGCTGGGTAGGTGCCAGTCATCGCTGCCGTGTGAGACACCCAGGCTGCTGGGTCGATGGGCCGGATGGGCTCACCTGCAGTGAAGAAAGAGTCAGTCAGTAGCTATAAGAAACTATCTGCTCATCAAATAAACCTCTGGGGAGGGACAGGGACTCAGCACAGCCCATTCCATCCCATCATCTGCCGGGACTCACCCGGATCGGAGCATGGAGAGTCTGGCCCAGCCCAGATCCGCTGGGGAGCAACTGGGAGAGAAAGAAGAGAGGGAGGGTCAGCAGGAGAGGTGCAGAGGGAGAGATCCCCCTAGAGCTCAAAGGGGGGTTTCTCTTTCCTCTGGCGCCCCGAGCAAGTGACCCCCCTGCCCCAGTGAAACGCATCCCCAGCGTGATGTGGGAATGAGGGCTGGGCTTATATGGGCATTTTGGGCTGGGAATAGGACAGAGCAGCTTCCTAACAGGAGAGCTGAAATCCCTTCAAACCCCAATTCAGTGCCACATGGAGTCACAGACAGGGGAGGAACAAAACAAGCAAGCAAGTGCTTAAGGCAGGGCTCTCACATGAGCTGGGCACCAGCGTTAAGGGTGGGTCAGCTATCCACTTACTCCTGGGTAATGAGAAGCAGCCTCGGGGGCTGGGATCCCAGCACTTGGCCACTGTCAGGGTGATGGGCCTGCAACAAAAAGGTGAGACTTAGAACAAGAACCCAGTGGGACAAACCCCTGCATGAGGGACAGATGCTGTATGCCAGCTCTCTCCTGAGACAGGGAGAAGGTACCAGTAAAGTGCCCTTGTCCCCCTCCAGCTATGGATTTCTTTGGTCACATGGACAAAATGATGTGACCCTGCTGAGGGTTGTTGATGACCCTGATGACAAGGCATCCCCACAATAAAAGGCCACAGATACCAGTTCACTATCATACTGTTGGCTGCAATTCTTGCTTTGGGCATGAAAACCCAGAAAGCAAAGCAACACTAAAAAAATAAGTTCTGAGCTTCTGTAGTGCTGCTGGCAGAGGTGGCTGGACAACACGACTCACACAGCACAAGCACACACCCTACAACTACCCATGGGGGTAAGAAACAACCCAAGTACTTACCCCGGCTTGTGCACAATCTCCCTCAGCACCCGCACAGCATCGTCGTTGCTCATGTTCTCAAAGTTGATGTCATTTACCTGCAAACAACGCAAAGAGGTGAGTCCCAGAGATGTGACCAGAGGCTGAGCTCCCCACTCAGCTCAGCAGTGACTCAGCTTCCCTCTTCCAAGCACAGCTTCCTGGGTTTAGCCTGCCAAAGTGCACAAGGAGGCTTCTGGGTCTTTTCTTACTGCTTTCCGAGGCCTAAAGATGGAGGTATGTGGGCGTGAAGTACCTGCAAGAGCATGTCTCCTGGCTCAATCCTGCCATCAGCTGCCACAGCGCCACCCTTCATGATAGAGCCAATATAAATGCCTCCATCCCCACGCTCATTGCTCTGTCCCACAATGGAAATGCCCAGGAAGTTGTATTTCTCTGCAGGGATGGAAAAAAAAAATAATAAGACATCATAAAGCAGCAGCACAAGCAGCCCTAACCTGAGACAAATCACGTGCTAATGATAGTTGACTGCACCCTTGTCCCAGATGTTCTGGGACACAGAGAAACTCTTGAGAGACAAGTGCTTCAAGACAAGCCACTTCCCTACAGAATTCATTTCCTCACCCCTCCCTGTATGTGTTCTCTTGCCCCTCCCCAGTCCCCTCTCCAGCCCCCAGTCTCCCTCTGGAAGGACTGCAGGCTCCATGCACACCTCCCACTCACCCATGTTCAGTGTGACTGTGATGATGTTCAGGGACATGGTGGAGTCTGTGATGCTGCTGAAGGACGATGACTGCAACACAAGTGAAACATGAGATGTTCTCCTGTGCCTCAGCAACATGCCCAGTCCCAGCCCCCTCCACTTGTGCTACTTGCCACTCCCTGTGGCACCACAGCCACCACCCACAACTCCAGCATTACGCTGGGAGCTTTGCAGAGCCAGCAGGCATCAGCCACAGTCCCTATGACCAGGACAAGGTCTGTGGTCCCAGCTCTTGTGGCTACATTGTTTTGAGAAGGGTTTACAGTGCTTTATGAAGTCTCAGCACACGGATACCACCCATTCCCTGCTGTGCCCACAGCAAACACAGCCAAATCCTTGCTCAGCCCTGAAGCACTGAGTGTTCCACCAGGCAGCCCACCTTGCCCTGCACTGCCCTCCCCAGGATACCCAGCCCTGGGTTACCCGCTCAATGCGTGGAGCCTTCTGTTTCCGCCGGCGTCGCTTGTGCCTCCTCATCAGACGGGAAGCACTGCTTTGCTCTGTTGAACTGCTAAACCTAGAGGTGAAAACTAGAGTCAGATCTTCCACTGCCAGAGTGGTGACTCTGGCAGCAAGAGATCCACAAAAGTGGCGCAGGGAACAGAGGACTGCAGGGGCAGAACATGTACATGACAGACAGAAAAGGGGGCTGCTGGATGAGACTTGAGACAGAAGCAGGTCTGACCAAGGACCCTGGAGCCAGTATTTCCATGCTCTGCAAAGGTTCTGTGCTGGGAGGCAGGGGGAAGCTAGTGTTCCTCCAGGACCTAAGCTCTCCTACCTGCTGGTGGAGTCATCTTCATCGGAATCAAAGAAGCTGGTGGTTTCCAGCTCACTGCTCATGAGTGTGGAGGAGCTCTCGTACCCGCCCAGATCTCGACGCCGCTCTCCTTTCACTGTCCCATTCACCCTGGGTGCTACAAAAAGACAAGACTCTGTGCTTGAGACAGGCCACAGGGAAATCACCCCTTCCCCTATGCTGGCCTCCCAGCACCCTTCTCAGAATTACTCTGGTCACTGGACAATCCTATCTAGTGCTGGCTCTGAGTTCACTCTTTGATCAAATCCATCTCCGGTAGGATACCTCTTCTATCACTACAGGATGGGGAAGAGGCTGATGGGCCATTAGGAGCAACGCTGCTAAATTCATGGAAGACTTGCAGCTATTTCTGCAGCAGAGCAAGAAGTGCCACGGAATGGCAAGGCTGCACCCCACTTTGCTTTTCAACTAAGAAGGATAGAGGCACTGCTGTCTCCTGCTCTTGATGCTTCTACAGGGAAGATCTTCTTTGCCCCCAAAGCTTTCAACATCAAGCTCTGATGCAACATAGGTGTTAGCTCCTGCCTCCAACGTGAGGCTATGGCCTCAGATCACTGAACAGCCCTTCAGGCTGGGAAGGTTCTGCAGAGCAGAGCTGCTCCACGTATGGAGCTGGTGTCCCCACCGTGCCACAACCATGCCCTGCAGTCATTGCCACGTTACCAACACTCACCATGCTCAGGCCCATCTTTCCGACGAGGTCGTTCCCTTTGCGATGACACCACTGAATCTGTCTCTGTCTCATTGTCCAAGTTTTCCCGACTCCCTCCAGTATTAGGGCTGCAATGAAATAAAAGGAACAAATATGTCCAACAGAGAACAACTTGAGCAGGCTCTCTCTACCTCTGTGCTAGCCAGCATGAGCCTCCAACCATCAGCTGTCTCCTTGAGAGACAGGAGCAGAGGTGGTGGGGGACAACCACAGCAAATCTATGAGTGCAGGAAAAGTGACTGGAAGAAGCTGTGCCAACTCCTTGTCAACTTCCCTGCACTATTTTCAGCATGTCCTTGCTTGTTGAACAAAGCAGCTCCACTTCTAATCTGCTCTCAGCTTCATTCTCCTCCCCTCTAGCTGGCTGCCAATTTGGGCAGGAGTGTTCCAGCCCCTGTCTGGATCTGTGGATCCCTCAGAAATCAGGAGAGGTGTCCAGGTAACTTACTGGAAAGAGGGGGGCCTGGAGTCTCCAATTCCTCCCGTACGCTCCATGGAGGGTGGCAGCTCTGTTTGGTTGTCAGCACAGACTGAGCCAGCATCTGAATGGGAACCCTCTGCAGACACCAGCTGGAAGGATGAGAGACAGAGAGTGAAATGACTGAAGCACTGAGAAAACATTTACAAAAGCAGCCAAATGAGCTGGCCAAAAGCCTGCCTGGCCCAGGATCTCATCGCTGACAGTGGACAACAGCAGATGCCCAGGAGCGGGTACGGAACAGGCCAAGCATGTAGCAACATTCCCCCTCAACGCCTTCCCAGACGCCAGTTATTTGTGGCTCAGGAATTCCTAACCCAGTGGTAAAGTCAGGGTGTCTGACAGCCCTGCGTGGGGACTCTGACCTCATCTGCACACCCACACCACACCATTTTTACACTCAGGTAACCTTTAGCACATGTCCTTCAGCAAGAAGTGGAGTTTCCTAGTTCTCATTACATTGGAAGAGGCAGCTGCCAGTCATTCCTCTTCTCAGTTTTACCAGCTTCTACACCTCTGCCTCCAAGCTAAAGGATCCAGCAGGACTCTCAGCTTCCCAGTCCATGGGAGCTGGGGGTAACAGAGCTCAGGGCTGAGGCTGGCTTTGAAATAAACTCTTTTCTGGCTTCCACATGTACTTTGCAAATTTTCAGGTTGTGCCCAACTAATTGGCTTGGGCACAACCTCCAGCCAACCTCTGGGAGCCTCAACAGTTTCTCCAGCGCAGAAATTCAAGAAAGGGTCAAATCTCAGGAAATCTTTACACCAGCTTTGCTGCTTTGAGGCAGCCTAGGCACACCTTCATCTGTGCCTCTGGCTCTAAGATAAAGCACCAACTTCAGGGCTCCAGGAATGAGGCTCACCTGGAAGGAACAGGCTCACAAGTGGGATGAAACAGAGGACAGTTCAAATAAGCTTAATGGGAAGTGGTTTCCACAACATCACTCACTGTGCAGGTTTGCACTCTCCCCACTTTCCAGTGGCACTGGGCAGTGCTAAGCCCAACAGGGCCAGGCAGGAAAACAAAAAATCCCTTTTTCCTTGCAAGATATATTCAAAAACTACCAGAGACAGGTGACAGGGCCCAGAAAAGGAGCCCCCTTTTGGCCAGAGAGCAAGTCCTCACAGACAGGCTAATGTCCCTGAGCAAGGGAAGATCAGTTTCCATCTTTAATGACCTTTCAGTGTGCTTTTCATGTCTGTCCTGGGCCTGTCCCCTGCACAGCATCAGGAGCAGGAGGGGCTGGCTTCCTCCTTGTGTCAGGGAGGGTCTGCAGGGCCCAGAGTCTTGACCCACCCCAGATAAAACAGGCTGTGGGTCAGCCTGGAGCCAGCCCAGTGAGGCAGGGAGAAGAGGACGGAGTCAGTGTACTTGAATCAACTGCCAAGCCATCAGTCAGTACAGGAGAGGTCTGATCAGAGGTGAGGGATGTCCCACTGTGGGTCAGGGCAGAAGGATCATGAAATATGGGCTGGAAAGGAGCTGACAGCTGCTGCCCAAACTATAATGCCCAGTGTAAATGCATTGGCAGCTCTACTGCTTGCATTGAGGAGACCACATTTGCATTGAGGCAGAGGTAGATGCCAATCCATAGGATGCACAGCCTGCTTACTGAGGTCTTGAATGCTTCCCAGAATTGCTGATGAAACACAGAACTGTGGTCTGCCTACCTTCAAGAACTGTGGAAAAGGGTGGAATGTACCCCACATATCATAATTAGGGCAGGGGGAAAGAGATCTGCTGCCAGAGAGACACTGGGAACAGAGACAAGGATGCAGCTGGGGCAAGGAAGAAAGAGCAGCCCTGAAAAAGTCACAGTCAAGGCAGTAGACAGGGCAGAGAGCACCCTGGGGTGTCAAAAGCTGCAGAGCCTGTCCCACAAGCCCCAGGACAAGCCAAACGGCTTCTACTCTCACAACTGTCTAACCAGCTCTTGTCTCACACTGGCTTCAGTTTCCCTCCCTCCAGCAAGCCCCAGGCACATGCCCAGCTCTGCTCCCAGCACCTTCCCAGGTGACAAGTCTTCCCAGGACACATCCCAATCCCTGAGGGCCACATCCATGCTCTGGCAGCCACTGCCCAGAAGCACAGGGGAGAAGAAAAGCTGGAAGTGGCCAGCATTGTCTAGGGAAAAGTCATATAGTGCTCTGTGCTTGAAGATCTCAGAGCAAGACCAGGCAAATAGATCTGAACAGAGGGAACTAGGCACAGGCAGCTAGCAAACAGCAGTGAGAAGAGAGGGGCTATTCCCAAGCAGGGGAACTGATGTTGCCTTCGTCTAACACTCCTGGAGCTAGGATTTCCTCCAGGGAAGGTTATGATAACCACCCTACACTTTTCCTGCCTCTTGCACTGTCAGGAAATATTCAGTCGGATTCAAGTTCCCATCCTTCCCTCTAGCTAAAATTAGTACCAAGTTCCTAAAATAGCCTCATCCCAGCCTGTCTGGCAGAAGCAGCAAAGCAAGGGCTCCCCTCACAGCCCCCAAACCACCTGCAGACAAGGAAGGTCTCAGCAGGGGTAGAAAAAAGCATCATCAGCTGTGTATAGAGGTCTCCAAGACCACTGTCAGCCTTCAAGCACAGGAGCCAATTGTGGTGCTAACTCCACGCACAAGTTCCCTGCAAGAAGAGCAGCAGCATGGTGCCCTGGTCACACCAAATGAAGCCACACTGGACATTTGCCAGTAACACTGAGCAACCACAGAGCTCATGCAAGGAAAGCCAGCAGCTGTGTGGATGCATAGACCAGACAGAAAAGCTCCTCAGGTGAAAAAGATGCAATGGGGAAGGTTCAGAGTCTCTGCAAGTCCCCATCAGGCAAGTGAAAACAAAAAGCAGCTAGCTAGAAAGGAAAGGGTGGGAGATGTCTCAGGAAAGATGCAGCAGCAGCAGGGATGGTGGCTAAGTCGGACAGGCTGTTTTCCAAAGGCCCTACTAACCACTAGAGGGAGGACAGCCGGTGTCCAGCCAGCTCTTTGTCTGAGAGCCCAAAGCACACTTTCCTCCCACTGCGGGGTGCAGGCAGGAGCCCACCCTGCACCCTGCTCCCCACCAGCATCCCAGCAGAGCCAGCCTGGCAGCAGGGTGTCCACCCAGCCCTGTCACCCTTGCCCTCCTTCCTGAAACTGTAGTCTCCCAGCTGAGGCCTAGCTGTTTGGTGCAGGGGCAGAAGAAGCATTAGGCCTGACACAGCCTGATTTGCTGTGGATTTTCATCGCCTCTGTAAAAAAGCACTTGGGTCTTGGTTCTGCTCCTGGCACAGATCCATGCACCCCCATCAGCACAAACTGCAGCTCAGCAGAGGGGAAAAGGGATGATGGACTCTGGAGACTGAATGCCCTCTCCCCCCAGAAATAGAGGGTCCCCTTGGAGGCAGAGGGAGGCATGCGGGCAGGGGACTGAGCATGTGCATGGCACAAACGGAGGGAGAAGCTTGTCCTGCAGCTGCCTAGGCAGTACCTTTAGTCTTCAGGGCAGTCAAATCCAGTCCACTTCACCAGCACTAAAGTCACTTAAGCCCTTTGTGGCAGTCACCGGAGTGGGACTTTCCTTGGAAAGCTGACCCTGCCACAGGGGCACACGGGTTACGCTGCGGATGGGCCAGGACCACCACATCTCTGCCAGGCATCAGTCACCACGAGCTCTCCACAGAGGCATCCCACATCTTCCCCAGCACAGGGGACCCAACACCATACAGCCCTCTCTCCAGCTGAGGGACTGGAGTGCAGTATTCCAGCTCCTTGGCCTCGTTAGCAGTCAGCACTCCGAGAGCCCGGAGCAGTGCCCGTGCCTCAGCTGGCACTATGCAACAAAACACTGGTTTTTAGAGGGCAGAAACAGGCAGCGAGACATCAAAACAAGGGGCTTGCTTACCCACGATACCACCCGGCCGTTGAAGCAGGGAAGTTTGGCATTGTCATCCGAGATCTCTTCTTTCACCACCCTGCAGAGGGGAGAGGAGGCAGTCAGAGCTGGGTCCAGGACACCAGAGGAAATGGGAGACTTTCCTAGGTGGGTGTTTGCACCCAACAACAGGCAGTGCAGGCTTAGGGAGAGGACTGACAGCTCCATCCTGTGCCCACAGCTATGGCTGGCAGGCTGGAGGGGAGAAGACAAGGGCAGGCTCTCCCACGTGCATCCAACTGTTTTATCCCAATTCACATTTTAATCAGCAAAAAAAAATAATTATCAAGTTCAGATGCATATTTCCACCAGTTGGCTTGTTTCTAAAGAAATACATAATTTAAACCTCTTTATAATGATCTGAAAGAATCACAACCGATGTCAAGAGATTTTTATTAGATGAAAGTGAAACACATTAAACATGCTGCTTCCTAAATCTTACTCTTGCTTTTTAATTACATACATATTATTTCAACATCAAGCTTTATAGTTGTGCCACAATGTTATGTTCCTGTACTACACAAACAGCTACATTATTACCAGCACTCATAGTGGAAAGAACACAGATAATTTTTCCTTCCCTGAAAAGTAAAAAACATCAGTTTTCCTTGGAGAGAAAATGTATTCCATTTTTAATGTCACTGGGTACCTAAATACTTTTCCCACAGTCAGTCTGCAATCAAAGCAACTTGTAAATTTGCCAATTCAATTAGTACCTTGTTTGATAAATTAAATTTAACGAAAAATAGCCTTTAACAAGCTCATTTTTTCTACTCAGTGACAACATTCTAAGCTCTCTTACTTAATGCAGACATCTTACAAGTAGTTTGTGATATTAATTTCCCCTTCCAAGCTATATCTAAGGTAGCTTGACATACTGTGCTATACAAGAGTATGTTGTGACCCAGCTGTGAACAGATTATGTTTGGAGGGAAATACAATCCAACAGAATAAGAACAAAAGAATTAATGCGAAATCAAGGGAAATTATGTAATAAAAAGTAGGTTATAAGGAACCAACAGAGTACACAGAGGTGGGATCCCATCACCAGCTCTGAAGGGCCCCCAAACCAGCCCCCAACTCACGGAGAATCGAAGAGGAAGCAAGCGTGGGCTGCGGAGCTGTGACCCATCACCCCAGCCTGCCACGCAGCCCAGGTGCTGCCATCGAGTGACAGTGCGCTGGGGCTCGGAGAAACAGGTACTCTGTGCTTCCTGGTGTGCCAACAGCTGCCCAAACTGCCACTGGAAATAGGATGGTAAGGCTCACAAGGCACCAGCAGAAGGCAAATGAACAGTGCTGGAAGACCAAAACCTGGGGAGCCGGCTTGCTCCACCCTGCCAGCCACACTGGTTGCTCCAGTGCCAGACATGCTCAACAATGGGCTGTCCCACGGGGTAAAAGGCAGCATGTCTTTGCTGGCACTCAGAATCCCTGCCCAAACTGGAGAGCCAGCAAAGGGACTGAGACAAATGCTACTTATCCCCAGAAGGCACAGATGAGGTGGTCACGGTTTGAGCGGTTTAATCCACTGTCATGATGTGCGTTAATTCCTTTTGCACAGATGGAGAACTGGGAAAAAGCAGGAAAGGAGCAGTGAGGAGGGATTAAAACCCTTAATGCTTCTTCAGCATGCCCCATGCCAGCCCCTGCACCCCAGGATGAGTGTCAAACACAGGCAGTCCTCCTGGACCCATTCCCTTTGGTGCCCATGTCAGCCCTTTCCAATGCAGGCAAGTTGTTGTCTCCTCACTTCCAAGCACACACACTCATGTACCCTGGCCTGGCTGTACTAAAATCCATTCATACTGTCACCAGAAGACTGGACTTCATCCAATTCCTAGAGAGAACTTCAGGCAGAGCCAATTTTCAGTGCTGCTTGCTGCCTGTTCAGGGACACAGAGCACTGCCTTTGGGTGAAGGGACAGGGTGATACATTTGCAGGGTCAGGTGACCAATTGCTAAGCACAAATGAACTATTCCACTTTCAGTGGGGACAGAGGAAATCAGCCACCAAGACCCCCTGCCCACTCTTGACTGCAATACCCAATGGAGAACAAGCTACAATCCCCGATGGAGAACAAGCTACCTCTGTCCTGAGGGCTGGTCCTTCACCACTCCTATTACGCTGCTGCTGCCCCAGACTTCCCAGGGGTCAGCTCTACCCCGGAGCAGTTTTCTCCCTCCTTCCCTAGCCACTACATTATTTATTGCTGTTTATCACCCAGATGCCAGAACACTGTGGATTATATATTTAGACTCTAAAGAGCAAAAACTAATAGTGCTGGAGCCAGGCACATGCTGAGCAGCAAGATCTCAGCAGCCCTGCTCACATCCGTCACCCCTCGCACTGCCGCAGCTTTTTGTGCCCTGCATTCCTCTCCAGCCTCAGCCAGGAGCTGTAGCCTTTCTCCCCCACCTCTCACCGCTCTCTTCAAGCCACACTTCTCACAAACAGGACCGCAGGTTTGTGTCAGAAGCCACCAGCCACACAGCCTCTGGGGGAGCTGTAAGCGGTGCCACGTTTCTCCTCTGCAGCTGCATGGGGAGGCAGCCATGAGATGAAACCCTCCTGCGGACATGCTGGGAGAGAAAACCATCCTGTGGATAGGGTAGAAGACTCCCTAGATCCTGGAGTCTGAGCTTGGGAATCCCAAAAGAACACACCCAGGAGATCAGGCTTTCTCTCACCACAATCCAAGGAAAACATCTGCCCAAGGCTGATTTTGAAGGGACTGCTTTTAGTCTACCAGCCATCAGGACAGCTGGGTTTCGGATTTTCCCATATCTAAAGTCCTGCTGGGGGCTGGGCACAACATGGCTGAGAATGGTGGCCAGGGAAATCCCTTGGCTATGAAGAGGCAGCCCAGGCCTTGCCCAGATCTACAGAGGCTAAGCCCCCTCAGGCTCTGCATGGAGACTCACCCAGTAGACCAAGCACTGGCCAGTCCCTGTCCCCTGTCCTGTTTCAGGGACTGGCTGCTGTGCTGCAGCCAAGCTGCACGCTCATCGCCTGGCCTGCAGGCCCAGAGCTCCCCAGCACTCATCTGCCTTGTATTTTCCAACAAAGAGACCTGCGGGAGGGAGGAAGGAGGGAGGAAGGAGAGAGGGAGGGTTACAGGGGAGGCAGGCCGAGTGGGCGGATGATTCAACACCATCCCCAGTGACACGGGGCCAAGATGGGGAGGAGGGGACGAGGCTCTGGCTGCTGCAGAAGCCCGGCTGGGGGGTGCAGAGGGGGCTGCCAGGGCTGACACAAGCAGCACATCTGCTCCCATGCAGCTGGGGGGAGGGGAAGGGGCAGTCCCAGAAGCAGAGAAGGAAAGCAGAGGGAACGTGGCTCCAGCCCTATCTTTCCACCAGCTTCCCCAGAAGAGTCGGCAGACCCTGTCCCCATGGCCTCGGAAGATGTCACACTCCCGGCTTCCCTCCCAGCGGGAACAGCCCGCAGCCTGGAACAGGGAAG